GGACGTTCCTACTCTCTCTCTCTCTCTCTCTCTCTCTCTCTCTCTCTCTCTCACACACACACACACACACGATCCAGAGTCACAAAACTCATTCACTTCACGACCCTAGTGATATTATCTATTGGATGGCAGTCAGAGAGTCATGGAGGCCACAATTGAGATTCTGTTTCAACTTTCAACCCAATGGATCTTGAGATTCAGTTTTCACCTACTGTGAATCATTCTTGTTGTGGTCTCATGTTCTGATTGATCGTAGAAGCCCCTTTCGGGCTGTTTTTCCCCCTCCACCGATTTATGAGTGAAAAATTGCCACCTTGGTCTGCTCCTGTATTGACGGACTTTTTGGGTCAATGAAAAACTGCAAAATGCCTGTAGCCAAAAAAAATAAAAAATAAAAACATAACACCATTGCTTTATAAAATGACCATATTACCTTCAATTAAGTTCCTTCATGTCCCCATGCCCTTTGGGTATGATCTCTCTCTCTCTCTCTCTCAAAGGTAGCTCGTACTAAAAGGAATTCTTCAGTTGTTCAATAATGGATCATACAGCTTTCAATATTTTCTGCATCAGTTCAATAATGGATCATACAGCTTTCAATATTTGCTCCTTAGTTGCTTGATCATACTGTGATTAAATGAATCATTGTTTTGTTAACAGTTCCGATGTCGACGATCTCGAGAAGAGGTTGGCGTCCCTTAGGCACATGTGACCTGTTCTTCCCCATTGATATTTGTATATGTAAATGTCTCTTTAGCAGCAGTGGTTGCTTGAAAGATCTTTTGGTTGGTCCAAGAGCATTTGTTTCCTTTGGTCCACCACAGTTTCTCTGTTAAGCAGCATGATCTCTCTCTCTCTCTCTCCAAATTTATTTTGATGATGTATCTGTGCACACACATGAAGTTGAATGATGCTTGGCTCTTGATTGCCTTCATATTCTACTTATACTAATCATGCTAGTTCCTCTCTATATCTTAATTCTTTTTTGTTGAATTTAGTGGCATAATGCTTGCTTGCTTGTTTATTATGAGATGTTCTTCATATTCTTTTTGTTCTAGTTATATTTTAGTTTTTTGGAAGTTGGAGCTTACAAGCTGAAAGAGAGAAAAAGCAATCAGGTTCATCTAGAATGGGAAATTATTCAATATTTGAAAATCAAGTGAGGAGAACACGGTCATATTCCCTGATAATTAAGGGCACTTTAAGAGATAAATTATTCAAAATTTTTGCTATTTCTTTTATTCTAATTCAAAATACTCCATCAAAATGTACATGAGCTAGAATGGTCGAAAATGGGTAAATTGCTAAAAATTGATGAGTGCCCCTGTTCGTCCATCTGATACTTGTAGCTTTGCTCCTTTTGGAGCAAATTGCACTTGCTCTGACTTAGAACCTGTTTGGATGGATTTGTTTGATCTTAGAGCTTAGGAAATGCTTTTCAATCATCAGATGAATGAACAGTAAAAGATTCAAGTTTCTAAATACTTGGATCAAACTTATCTAAAAAGTAGACGATCCATGTTTATGGAGATCTCATTTAGCAATTTTCAAGTTGATTTATCTTTACTGGCAGTGATTCGGTAGGATGGAGCTTTTCTGTTTATTTGAGTGGATCAGTAGATCATCTCGACAGTTGAGAGCAGATAAACAAATTAATCTTGGCCAGCACTCTCTCTTAATTGTAGGATGGAGCTTTTCTGTTTGTTTGAGTGGATCTGTAGATCATCTCCACAGTTGAGAGCAGATAAACAAATTTATCTCGACTAGCACTCTCTTGATTATGTTAGGCTCTCTTTTTTTGGCACCGCGTACAATAAGGCCATTTATTTTTGGGTGCGGTTTGTATAGAGCCGAGGCTCTAAACAATCAAATTAGAGCCCACCTTCAAATAGTGTAGAGAAATGTGGTTTCACTATTAAAAATCTTTAATAGCCTTAAAATATATTTTCCTCTTTAATTATTAAATTTAAAACTTAATAAATAGTGTATATAAAATCAATAAAAACTTGATTAATTTAAAAATGGAAGGTCAAAAAATGCATTACAAGATATACTATTTCCAAAACTTGAAATCCATTTTTTTTTTCAAGTCCCATGCATCTTGATACCGAGATGATTAATTTGAAGATATTTGAGAATTTTGAAGTAGACTCTAATTTGATTGTTTAGAACCTACGTGCTAATTACTTACTACTATTTAACGTGAAATTTAATAGCTTGGGTATCGTAAGTTTGAAAAAATTTCTTCCAAAATTTGAACTTGGTAGCCATCTAATTTTACATCTAATGGTCGAGATGAATGGCAATGGCATGTACTAAAGATAAACGGCCTCATTGTATACTTTTACCTTTTTTTCCTTTTTTTTTTTGGTGAAAAGTCCCACTTTTCATTATAAACCAAAATCCATGAGAAACACAAGGTGTAAATTGCTCAAATGTACAACCATCTACTGTTCAGCCCCTTGTTATGCCGGTAAATCTATAAGCAAAGCTCTCTCTCTTATTAAATTTTAAGGTGAAATCATTCTGTCTCAAGAGTTAACAATCAAAAACAAGAAAAAGAAAAAAGAAAACAAAATTCTCAACACGTTTGAAAAGGCTCAGCGATTTAAACTAGATAGGCAAAGTCTCTCCCGCTAGACATCCAATTATGGGGTGTCATAATCCTTACACTGGTGATATATAGTCATGAGATAGGCTCCAAGGAAGACATGATTCATGCACATCAAACTATCCCTCAGAGCAATATCCAATGCAGAAATTATTTTGGGACAGGTTGTCCACCAACTTCACTAAAAATATTTGTAAATCAATCTATGATGCCTATTAAAAAAAAATGTCTCAAAGATTGAAGAACCATCCAATTTTCAGAGGGTAAAATTTAAACGTCAACTCAAAATTTTTCTTTCGTAAATGATCATCTAGTGATCTTTGGTGGTTTTCAAATTTTCACATGGAAAAAACCCTCCAAAAGAGGTCTTATAGCCGAGGGAGTGGATCTACATTATTGCTCCTGCGGGAGCATAGTATAATATAAGTGATCCTCGGTAGTAATGGTAACAATTTGCACTACGTTACAATAATTAATCTTCCAAGAAAATTGATTCTCCAAGGTTTCTTGGCAATAATCAGTTCCTCAGATTTTCTCATGAGATAGTTTCCATCTGAAAGCAACTGCCATGGCAAAATTAATGCCCACAAAGCAACAACTGCTCCAAGGCCAGTTCACCTACATGTCAGCAAGTCTGCATACATTATAAGAAATAGTATCAACATCCCATTGCAATAGCATCAAAATCCTAAGCATATGAACGTGTAATATCTACATAAACAATTGGCGTATATGCATAAACAATGCATTAGATGAAAACTTGTTAATAAGTTCATATCCTGTTTTCCAAGGATTTTAAGACCCAAAACACCCTAAATGACTGCAACTTATTTCACCTTTGGATCCATAATTTTACGGATCTGGAAATAGTGTAGATATAATGATCTTGGAAGAATCGAACTAGACTATCCCAAAAAAAAAGGATAAAAAAGGTATAACATGGACCAATTGCAAGGCTCGATGATTGATTCATTTTCTCGGATACATAATCGTCATGCTTGAAATGATGGACCTGTGAACTTTTGGAATCTTAGCCTTCTTCCAAGACGGGTTTCGGAAACGTAAATGCACTAGATAGATGCATCCCAGGATGCACACCACTTCTGAATTGCGGGGTTGCACAAAAAATATGAAACTTTGCCCAAATACATTAATTTTGTCTGGAGCACTAAAAACCCTCTAAATCCCCTCAATCCATCACCTAGAAAAATGAATGGTCCAGAGTTGGTTTTGGTCAGAAAAGATTTGCCGCAGTTTTGGAGCTCCAAGTCCTTTTTTCTGTCATAAATCTATTTTGGGGTGCCAGAATTTGGATATTCTTCAGACCTGCCTTGAGGAAAAAGCGGCATGACATCATTTCCCTCTAATAAATAACTCACTGATGAGTTAATACTCAATTTCAAATGTACAAGAGAAAAAAGTACGAATCAATTAGACCACTTGTTGCAAACCCGACTTTGGATCAATCTGCCAATTTGAATTCATATCTCCTAAAAGTTCATTTTGTTAAGGGTTTACCAGCAATATTGATTTTTTGACTTTTTGAAAAAATTAATCTTTTTTGAATCAGCAACCATTTTCACCATTTTAGAGGCACATCTTGTTCATCTAACTGTAATATACAGACCTAGTTCAACATTGATTTTGTGGGAGACCCAGCAGTCTGCAACTATGAATACAAGTACAAAAGGGACATAATGGCCATTTCAGGAAACTATATTAGAGGGCATTATCGTTGATTCCAAAAAAATTAGAAGAGGGAAGAAAATACCAACTTAGTGGTGATAGCCAACTTCTGGAAAGGGTCGACCCAGAAACATTCACTTGTGAATTGTACAACCTACACCCTCACGAACAAGTAGGCTTCAAAAAGCACATCCTCCTAAAAATCTACACGTACGGCCTACTACACCCGATTAAAACTTCAACCAATGCCTTCTATACAATCCCACTGATTTGAACCTTTTTTTCCTCCAAACTGAATTTGCAAATTTTCCTCATTTCCATCAACTCCCAAACCCATTAAAACTATTGCTCTTTCATGGGCTTTCTCGTCATCAGCCTCTGTCCCCCATAGATTTTTTATTGGATTTTTCTTTAAAGAGATTTTAAAGTTTTCTACAATGGTTTCACACAAAGATCAAGGCGATCTTGATTCAAACAAAAACAGAGATTTCATAGTGAAAGTAAAAGAACTTACAGATTCGTGCCTTTGTCCCCTATAACTCAGGCCTCAGATATTTGCTCTAGCTGTGTTCACAGAAAAGAGAGAGAGAGAGAGAGAGAGATTAACCCTTGTTTGTTGGCAGCACCAACGAACATATCAGTGAGGTTGCAGGTGGAGATGGCATGAGAAGCGCTGGTTGAGTAAGAGAAAGTCAGTGAGAGAATGGGAGAGCCAAGCTTCAGTGATTTTGGGGGTTGATGTTTTTTTGGTTTGGGGGGTGGGGGGAAGAGAGGGAGGTAAGGAAATTTATAACGTCCTATATTTTAGGTGGATGAAATAATTATTTAATGTAACATTAAAAAAAAACCATGTGGGGGGCAGGGAGGGGGGGAGAGAGAAAGAGAAAGAAAGAGAGAGCGCTAAGAGCACAGAAAAATGACAATCCTCCATAGTCTACTCTCCCAGTTCACATCTGCAGAAGGAGCTAAGCATCTTTCCTGCAAAATTAACACAAGTATGCTCGCTTCAATACGTTTCGAATCTCAAAAGGAAGAGAAGCTGGTAATTGGTTATGTTCCAAATAAAACAAAACCATAATGCTTCTTGGCATTAGTAATGGGAACAGCACTAGCAGTCCGATCAAACATCCAAGTTGAGAACTATTGTGTGTGCAATTTTGTTGCTGGTATGCATGAGCAGTAATGACCCCAAAAAATAAATGGCCCACAATATGTTTTCAGAATTTTCCTTTTCTATCATAATATTTTCTCCATGTGCTCTGGGATGGGTGACAACGGAGGGTGGCAACCAGTAATTATGTTGTTTGTGCCAATTGTAAGCTCTAGAGCTAAATATGTAGAAGCCCACAACATGCTAAATACATGGCTAAAAAGGCCAAACCAATCTGTTCTGCCTCCACCTTATGGGTAGTTCTAATCCCTCAACTCTCTTCAACTCTTTACACATCACATGGAATTTCTATAAAAGGAAAGGAAACCCCGACGCCAAAGGACAGCTCCTTGTAAGGATTTGATTCGTCACATCCTACTAAGCAAGAGCTCCCTCTCTTAGGCGAGTGGGGACTCCTCATACATGCTTCTGAAGCAACTAATGCAACTACAGGTTTATAAAAATATCTGACCAAGAAACACTCTTATCAATCCAAGTCAAAACCAGCCTATCCACCACTTTACACTTGAAATAAAACTACTCTTAAGCATCATTATTAGGCAGACCAACTCAGCAACCTCTCCTTCCATTAAATCCTTGAAACAGTTCTAACCTTGAACATCATGCCCCTCTACTCCTGTCTCTCATAACTATCAACAACACAAACCTCCCTTGACCACAAGGAGACGGAGCTAACACAAAAATCTGGGATGTAAAGGTACATCACCATAACACAGGCCTGAAACCGAACTTGCCATCTTCTCTATCTCGAATCTAGATTTTCTGGACCCAACCCAAACTATTTCCCTCCAAAACTAAGGGTCCTCCAAAACTAAAGAGCCGTTTGGGTACCTGGAAATCTATTACGTGACAATAGATTACAAAGAAATATGACCTTTCTACTGTTTGAGTATACTTAATCGTCAGGAAATGGAAAGAGATTACGTCAGATTTCCCCAAAAATCAAGAAATCCATTACGCACGGTGATAGGTGATAAATCTATTAATATTCGTTTTTGCCTACCCTATCCCTGATTAAAAAATCTTCTAAGCCCTCTCTCGTCATAGTCATAATAACTAGCTCGTCCCCTTATCTTAAGGCATCAGCTGTCATATAAAACAAAAATAATAAAAACAAAAATCAGTAATCAATGATAAATTACACAACACAATCATAATAAAAAATTTCACACAACATAATGTGATCCCTCCTTTTTTTAAGCTCGTCCCCTCATCTGAAAGCATTAGTATCATATAAAAACAAAAATAATAAAAATAAAAATCAGTAATCAATGATAAATAACACAACACAATCATGATAAAAAATTTCATCTTTAGTCTCCTCCAATACCTCAAAATTTTATACTGCAATTACCAAACCTTCTAGTTTACTAATCAAACTTCTTCCCATTTTTTAACTTGTACCCTACAGATTTTGAATTTACTAACATAAATTTATTCTTTATTTGAAATTATATAAGGGACACTTGAAAGATTTCTATAAAAAATAAATAAAAATAAGGCTTATCATAATAAAATCATGTTATTCCAAACATATTGTGCCAATGACTTATCATGTTGAAACCAATGTCATGTTAGAAAACATGTGATTGCGTATAAGTGCCAAAGGCACTTAAAATAAGTAAGAAATAGTGTCATGACTGTAAAATGGTACAAGTTATTATTAGAAAATCTTTTTGGAATGGTGATAATGTTATTATTAGAAATCTTTTTGGAATGGTGCGATGATGATTTTAATTCAGTATTTAGTGGAATTTTGTCACAAAAAAGAAGGAAATAATAATTCTGCATTTTAGTGGAATTTTGTGACAAAAAAGAAAGAAAAGATAGTTTATAGGCACGTGCTGGTAAAATGTTGGTAATGCATTTCCTATATTTCTTCCAGACATAGCCAAACAATAACAATGTATTTCCCAGGTTGCATCTAAATACTACCCAAACAGTAACAATCCATTTACATGTAATGTATTACGCAGTAATGTATTACGCAATAATGTATTACGCCAGTAATATATTTCACAGACAATATATTTTCAAGTATCCAAACGGCCCCTAAGAGAAACTATATGGCCTCACCCCCCCACCATTGACACCAAAGTTCAAAAAGCCAGATTCAGCTGCCTGCCCAGGTACCTGGGCGGACGTAGAGTGTGTATTTTTTTCTTTTCTTTCTTTTTTTTTTTTTGGGGGGGGTGAGAGAGAAAGCCATGAGAGAGACTGTGCCATAAATGTGGCAAGAGAGAGTGCAATAAATGCGATGGAGAGAGATTGCAATAAAATAAATGTGAGACAAAAAGAGAAGCATGTTTGTATGATGGTGTATGATGGGGGGGGGAGAGAGCCAAAAAAATTGATGGAGTGACATTGTGCCAAAAATGTAATGGGGAGAGAGAGTGCAATAAATGTAATGGGAAGAGAGAAAGTGCCATAAATGTGATGGAGAGATGGAGTGCAATGAAGAGAGTGCATAAATGCAACAGAGAGAGAGCAATAGATGCTATGGCCTTTTCTCTCTCCTATTGTTCCGTTTTTTCCCCTTGGCATTACAAGCCAAGGCACCCGTGCCTAGGGAGATCTGGGCGCTTAGGCGGGCACCCAGGTACACGCATGGCTAAGGGTCCCTTCACTTTGGAAGGATGCCTGAACCGCCTAGGCGGCCAGGTGGCTGAATTTTTCATCACTGGTTGACACAAAAGTGCCCTCCAGCCATTCTCCCCATCACCTAATGTCTACCATGCCCCTCCATCTTACAAGCTTGAATTCTGTCCTACAATCAACAACCCTTGCTCCTAACAACCTACAAGCTTCCAAAAGTGCCCACCTCACACCCCAATCCACCTTAGTTAACCATGCAAATGTCAACATCCTCGTGTAATTTGCCCGGACAGCATGAACTTGCATCCCCAATTTGGCTTCACATCAGTTTCCCACATTGTTAAAGGGAAAAATTAGACACACTTGACTAGTCAAATTTCAATATGTAAACAATGCTTTAGAGATTAATGCGAAGGAATGAACTTTTCATGGCAAACATATTGAAAGTTGAAGGGAACTATCACCCATCAACATCAAACTAAACCATAATCTACAAGGAATAGTTTTTTACTGAAAATATATCAAAAGCGAAGAGAAGTTCATAAACATACTTCCTCTTTCTCCGATCCCCACTGCTATTTCTCATATCTGGTTTTGGGAGAGTGGATCCTATTGATGAAGTCATCTGCATGGGGGAAGGTATTGGGGCATTAGCAGCTGTAGATGGGGCGGGGGCAGGAGGTGGGGGTGGAACTGGTTGAGCGGGAGGTTCAGGAAGAGGGCGTGGCAAGATGTGCTTTAACCGATTGTTTCTGTAATTCTTCCAGAAAAAGAACTGCTGCCTATGAGCTATTTCCTGAGCACATCGAGAACAACAGACCCTTAGTTCAAGCTCTGAGTACAGATCACAACTTTAGAGTATAGAGAAACCCCGATATTATGAGTAATGCAATGGGTTTGAAGTTTCTCAAAGCAACAACATGCAAGGTAGAAAATCTTTCCATTTTATTTCTGAGTACTATTCCATAACAAATTATGCAAAACCCAATCTGCCATGTGAAGGAAACCATACGGAATTTAATACCAGATTTTTTTTGCTGATTAATTTTTTGATGCTCATTTTTAAATAACTTTGAATTATTGACAACCACAAATGTATCATTGAAATAGATCATAAATTTGGACAATCACTAAAAGAAATGTTTAAAATGAACTTTATGAATAGTTTAAGACAAAGGATCCCTCACTCTAGATTAAATTATCCAATTCTTTCAATCCTGTTTTTTTGTTTATTAGTACAGGCCTCATTTTGCCTGCATTTGTTTTTTTTTTTTTTTTTTTTGGAGAAAAGTTAACTTTCATTTTGCCTGCATTGTTTGAATGCAATATGATGTATTTCATCTTAACAGACTGTTAATTATAGAAAGAAAGCAGCCCAACCTGATTCAAGAAAGAAGGGTAAAGCTTATACTATGAAAGTATGAATATGAAAAAAAACCAGTTGTCAACCAGGGTATTTTAAGCTGCTCATTGCTCGTAAGTTTTAGGGATCTTCCAGACTCATTACTAATACCAGAAAAAAAATTCAATACTTGCAAATGAGGATATTCATTTAGAATTTGGAGAAGATAACCTTGTTGCCTGGATGGGCCATTGCATTGCGGAAGTTGGCATTTTGAAGAAGTTCAAGAAAGAACAAGCTGTGTGGGTACCTGCAAAGATCAGAAAAATTTAGGTCTAGAGAGAACAAGTATTTACATGGACAACATCAAAACATGATCCCCAATATCATGGCCTCCATAGAAGTGGAAGATGTCAACAAACTTCCATAGGAAAAGCATGACTCAAGTTGCTTACATAATAAACTTTATATACTCTGGTTGTTGCCAATACTGAAGGTACTTCAAGTAACCGACAAAGGCTTCATCTTCAAAATACCGGTTCTGAGCCAAATCTGCAAATGAAAAAAAAGTATATACATACTATAATTTTTTTCATGAGCAATATCTATCCATAAAAATACTAAGAAGTTAACCATACACATATTAGAGTATATAAACAAGTAAAGGTCATCAAGAAGCAAAATAAGTAAAGATTATGCAGATTCAGCTTCACATCCTTCGCCATAAGTATCGTCCCTTAACAGTTATTCATCTATTTTATTGTTCATACTTAATGTAAATTTCTACAATCAATTTAGGTTAGTTGACGTAAAACAGATTTGTTTCTGTCTTTTGTTGAATCATTTTCAAGGTTTGATAGATAATTTGAATTTACAATCAATTTAGGTTAGCCTGAAGGCTTTATGTACTTTTATCATGGACCTTTGACTTTTATATCACAATTGGATCATGCATTTTACTGTACTAGCAAAATACACATCCTCCACACATGTGTTAGAACTATGGTTTGGACACATAACCAGTTTTACTCTTTTGTTGTTCTAAATGCAACTAGTGTTATATGTAACTTTTGATCGTCACAAATGTGTCAAGCTTCTTGTTGTCACATTTATAAACAAGATTTGAATAACTCAAAAAAAGATGCTGTAACATATTATAAAACTTAGGGAATTCTCATCAAATTCTAAGGACAATAATTCAATAGAGATCAAGAAAAGAAGGACTTTTTTTTGTTCATCTCTATCTTCCTAACATCAAAAGATTAACAATACTGCAGTGTCTTTGGCTAAAACTCAAAAAAGGTAAGCAAGCTATCTCAAAGAAAAATAATAATCAAGATTTGAATAACTCCAAAAACGATGATACGGTAATAAATCAATTATGTTGAAGAACAAAAGGAATTTTTTTGTTTGATCTCTTTGTTTCTAATCACAAAAGTTTTAACAATGCCTCAATAAAGGTTAAGCAAACTATCTCAAGGAAAATAAAAGCATGCACAAGAAAGGAATTGGTCATAACATCATAGTCATAATCTTTAAGGTATAATACTATATGGGTCCCCCATTTCATTCATTTCCATATAGCATAAACTGGTCATTTTTGGCACACTACGTACACACATAGGCACCGATGGAATGAAAAATGCATTTTAAGGAAATGACAAATTAATTGAGTAAAACAATTTTAAAAAAGGCTCTTTAATAAATTAAGTAATCAACCTTATAAATCAACCTTAGTTAACCTTAAGTTTGAGCCTGGTTAGCCAAACAACCTTACTAAATAGAAGAAATCTCATGTGAAACGGCTCTATAAGAAATTAAGTCAAAATGTTATTGCTTAGTCAAAAGGTATTAGAAGAGATGATAATAATTCCCATTTGTATTATAAAACTCTTAATTTAATAACAATAAGTAATATGTGATTGAAATTGAAATCATTGAACAAAAAAAGGGATTGACAGTATGGTAAGTGTTAAAACAAAAGATCAAAGTGATGCCCTCATTTTCAAAAAGAAAATTGAGAACTCGAATTACAAACAAATTCATATATAGAAACCCTAAAGGAGAAACCCATGAAAAGTGAAGCCCATAATTTCAAAAAGAATCAGAAAAATTGAAAATCTGAAATTTAGAGTGAAACCCCTAAAACTTTGACCGTGTATGTAAACAACCTACTTTACGATGAGCAAATTTACACAAACCCTAAAAGAGTACTCGTTGAATGAGTCCAAATTGTTTTTAATATAAAGCTTTGGGAATTAAAATTTTCAAAGTGAATTCCCTAATTTAAGAAAGCAAATTGAAAAATCACATTAAAAAATTTGGAAATAAAAATTTCAAAGTGAATTTCCCTATTTAAGAAAGCAAATTGAAAAATCACATTAAAAAAAGGTTGTAGAAACCCTAAAAAGTGAACCCCTACATTAAGTCTAAAATATTTCATTTTTATGCTTTGATAATTAGCATGTGGTTAAAGAAATTTAAAATTTGAATTCTTCAATTTTAAAAAGAAATTTAAAAATGTAATTTAAGAAAATTAAATACAAAACGCTACTATAAAATCTATAAAAAGAAAAACTCTAGTCTATTGAAAACCCTGATTATGAAAAGCCAGCAATATTATAAAAATCTGTAGAAATTTTACTTTATCATAAACAATGTAAATGATTCAAAACAAAAACCCTGTCATAAGAGAAAATGTAGAATCCTAAAAAGAGAACCCCTAGAAAAGTGAATCCCTTAATGTCAAAAAGATTATTGAGAATCATGTATTTAAAGTGCAACCCATGAAGTTTTGATCATAAAATTCATAGAAATTTAAAAATTGAGAACATGAGGCCCTTAATTTCAGAAAAATTGATAACCTCAATTCTAATAGAGCTATATAGTGGTCAATTATTACTAGAATGTGACAGTAATGGATCCTTTATTTTGGCCCAAGAAAAGAGGTTGCAGTACTTCCTGCAATCTATACTTTTAAATGAAGAACAGCCAATAGATTCACCAAAAGGAGATCATTAAATCTACAATGTTCACGACCTACACTGTATATATTAAGATTAGAGTAATAATAAATAATGGAAAACTTACAGTGGATATAGGTAGGATTGGCTAGACATTGAACAAACTCCAACTCAAGCAAAAAGCGTTGGCGCCCATCGTCAGGGTCCTTGTACAAATCCTTCGGTCTTCATGAAAAAGAAAGAGAAATGAGTTACAATTAGGATACCGTGTAAAACCTCTCATAAACCTCAATTCTAGTTGGCCCATATGATTCCAAGACTCAGAGCTCAACCTCGTCACACTCATTGAGGGATCCAGGGCCATGATTTCCTTATGGACACTCTCCTGCAAGGAGTACTTTGGTTTTTAACCTCAGACCTTGCGAGCTGCTGAAGCGCAATCATATGGGCCAAACCCATAAAGATTGGCATATACTCAACTTGGATACATCCCTGAGCAGTACCATATCAAATAAACTTCGACAGGTGCTCTCTGGATGACTCGGAACCATCTAGAGTCAGCAGGGTTTTAAGAGATCGACTCGGCAACTTCAGTCCCAGTTACTCCGATCCACTGGTGTTGGGGACACAACATTGTCCAAGACCCAAGCTCTCCTCAGGAGTCTCAAGCTATTCGATCACAGTTGGGCCGGCACTTGCTCACTGAAGGAGACTCTCAATATTATTGGATGGGCCAACACAAGGGCTCCCTGCACATGGAGACGGGCACATCACTTTAAGGAGAATTTTCACCTTTTCTCCTTTCGAGTCTCCTTAAACCATGCCCAAAAAGAGGCTAGCAGCCAATGAAAAATCGGGTTCACACTGCTGTCCTCTTATGATAAGAGATCCCATTTTCTTGGTTCTTGTATAAAATTCATTCGTGACAGAATTTTCCTTCTGGTCATATTTTGTATCAACTTCTTTCACCCATACATGTATAAATATTTTGTTCTAAAAAAATAAATTGGAAAAAATAAAGTCCAGGATAACAGGTTCACAGTTCAAAAGTTGGGAATCAATGACAGCTAAGGTGTTCAATTAAATTCGGGCCTTCGATTCAAAATTGGAACCGAGTTCCGTATTGGTTGTACTAATTCAACCTTTCAAAGTTCAATAAAAATAGGTTCAATTTTCAAGATAAACTACTTCAGACATAATAGAATGATACAATATGTTTGAATGGATGTTCGATAGTATATGCTTCCAACACATATGTTAGAAAGGAGACAATACATCTGAAAAGGTAAATAAGTTTCTGGACTCAAACTCATTTGAATAATTCTGCATAGAGAAAATCTTATCTTCGTATGATGCATCCAGAGCTTAAAATAGAAGAATGTTAACCCTGCACGGGAATCCTAAAACAAAAAATTTCTATTGCCATATTCGCATAATGAAATTACGCATCCATTGCTGACCGTACAAAATTTTCCAACAAATTACTCGTCATGATCGTGGTAAGAACTAGCAAGCATAAATTTTCAGTCATGGAAAAAGTGAGATTGAAGAAAGACACTAGAAAACTCCAGGGCATTAAAGTATATCGACAATTCACAATGGTATTCCAACCACACTGAGTTCCATAGATCAAGATTAACTTTCAGACAAATTAATCTCATGTGGGTGAACAAAATCATCCTATGAATGCAATGAACCGAAATGCAAATCACATAATATCAAAACAAAATACTTCTCGAGAAGACTGAGAACCATACCCAGCTGACATTTTCACAGATTATTTCCTTGAAATCCTTGATAAAATCAACCCTAGGAAGATACAGAGGCAATTAGAAAAACTAAAAATGTCTAAAAAGCTACAAACAGATAGGCATAAACCCTTAAAAAAAAGGAAAATTTTGTCATTGAAGACCATAAAAGAGAAAAGAACAACTAGAGCAATAGAACCCTAATAGGGAAATGAAAGCACGAGATTTCGATTACAAAAGCAAGAAAGAGACAACGCGGAGTTAAGAGAAAATAGAACAACCATACTGAAGCAGAAATCCCAGTTACCTCTCAGAGAAGGAAAGCTAGGTCGTTAATGGAACTCCCGTGCAAAGTGTTTAAGGAAGTACACGGCCGCTTATTATAGGGGCTGAAAACGGGGTTTTATGATATGATGCCAAAGGACTGTATACTCCCGCTGGAGTATTACTGTCCATTTATTCCCCTGAGCAAAATCAAATATAGGAGTGACTTTAGGACCCTTAATTTTGTGGACGTAACCTTATCAACCTATAGACTAACTTCCAAAGAAAAAAAGATATCCAAGTTAAACTCTCTATGTATTTAAAAAAAATCGTATCGAGATTGAACAGAGTCTGCCCAATTTTTTGAAAGGCAAGATCTAAGTGTCAAAAAGCTCAAAGAGCACTGTTTCTATTTTGAAAATAATGGTTCTTGAAATTTCATAATGAAAATATCTAGGCCTGAGCGGGTTGTGCTTGCCCAGCCCAAGCCTAGTTTTTTAGGGACATGCTCATTGGGGCCATTGCCATCCCTACAACTCAGGAGTATTTTTAAGACATTTCAAATTCTTAGGATGTATTATTTTCAAATAAAAAAGAAATCAAAAGTACTCTTTGTGAGCCTAAAAAATACAAAGGGCCTAAAATATTTTAAAATTGAAGGTTGTAAATTTATGGACAGCCAAATCTAAGTGTTTAAAAAGTCAAAATCTGAATTTTTTTTAAAAAAATAATCATGTGATTCATAAGAGCATACCAAAATTCAGACACTTCTTTTTTGAAAAGGAAAATTGTTTCATGCTGTCGGGACCACATTTCTACATTTGTAGTCCCTGAGGTATAAAACGTCTTCCTTAAAGATGGATGGAAATAAGCGTCTATCTAAAAATAAATAGTCCAAATATTTTTTCAATCAAATAATTATTTTAATTTTTAAATTTTATTTATTTATTCATATTCATGATCTCCATATTAGAGATTACTTATCCTTAAAAATTAAGTCAAAAAATCCATCTCAAAAATAGATTAGTAAGAGGTGACTCATTTCTGCATGGATTCATAAAAAACGTGTCCTCTTGAAAGTGTTAGAAAGTTTGACACTTCTGATTAATATTTATTGTTAAATTCCAATAAAAAGTACTTTAATGTATGCTAAATTCTCAACATAGGTATCTAAATGATATACGGATACATTGTCTTTGAAAGCTGATTTTAGAATTGAAATTTCTAACACGAGTATCCATACTGACACACCTATTAAAGTCATCGTGACATATTTGTAAAGGCTGGAAATAGTGGGGTAATTTTGCTTTGATTATTTATTTTACGAAGAACCACTGAGACTTCAAGATCTTAGTGGAAACCAAAAGAGCCAATTATCATTCCCAATATTTTATTTTTGGGATTGTATACTATAACTTATTTTTGGTACAATGAGGTTATAATCACATTTTATCGTTAGATGTAGATTAAAGTGTCTCACAAAATTTTATTACGGACTTGTGCCCAATAATTGACACATCCCCAATCACCTAATTTCGCATCCAATGGTCAATAATAAATTGTGATATTCTCATATAAAAAACAAATGGTCTCTATACATTTCTATTTTTTTATTGTTATTATTTATTTCACTGCATTGATGTAATTACCCAACCTATTGTATTGATGGAAAAGTTTACATAAAGCCTAGGCTATAAACAATCAAATCATAACCTACCTCAAAACTTTTCACTATTAAAGGTTGTTCTGATACCCAAATATCATCAAATTGATCTTCTCAACATCAAGATGCATGGACATGAGAAAAAAATGGAATTCAAGGTTTGGAAATGGGTATAGTTTGTATAGAGCCGAGGCTCTAAACAATCAAAGTAAAGCACACATTCAAATAGTATCGAGAAATGTGGTTTCAATACTAGAAATCTTTGTGATAGCCTTCAAATATATTTTTAATTTTAATTATAGAATCTAAAGCTTCAAAAATAGTGTAGATCCAGTCGATCTATGAAAACTTTGAAAATCTTGAAAATTGACAATAAAAAAATGCGCTACAAGATGCATCATTTTCAAAACTTGAAATCCATATTTTTTCACAAGTCCATGTATCTTGATGTCGAGATGATCAACTTTAAGATATTTGGGCATCAAAATAACCTCTTATATTGAAATTTTTAAGGTGGGATCTAATTTGATTATTTAGAGCCTCAACTCTATATAAACTTTTTTTTTAAGAAATAGAGCATCTTGTAGCTAATTTTTTGACCGTTAATTTTCAAAATTTTCAAGTTTTCATAAATCTGTTCGATCTATGCTATTTTTAAAGCTTTAAATTTGATAACTAAAGATAAAAATATAATTTAATGTTATCACAACACTTTCCAATATACTTGTCACACCCCAAGAATTTACAATACAGATATTCCTGAGATGTGACAGTCAAAACATATATACACTTCTTGATAGGACAAATTTACAGTGGCGAATTCTTATATGGTAACAAAAGAAAGTTAAGCTAGCACAACTACAATATCTTCCAATGTTGCCCTTGACGAGTACTCAAAATGAAACCGCAGATATCCTGAAAAATGTTTACTATAATTTGATGAATTTGGCTACTCAGTAAGTGATCATTATAATCATAAAAATAATCATCAATGAAAGATATAAACAAACTTTCAAAATGGATGTCAATTAAAAACAATGCGAGCACAAGCATTTATAGATAATAATTTCACTTTAAGAAATACACAATTAAACATAATCTAAATGATTGAAATGCATATAGCATTTTATCGGCAGTGCATAATTCAAAAGATTCCACAAAATTACCCTACTGGCGTCCCCAGTAGATCACCTATATACCCCATCAGCGTCCTGATGGGTCCACTTAATCCCTATCGGCATCCCATATAGGTCCACTTAATCCCTGCAGGTCCACTTATACCTCACCGGCGTACCGGATGAGTCTACTTAATCCTTACCGGCATCCCGGATAGGTCCACTTATACCTCACCGGCGAACCGGATGAATCAACTTGCATACTTAAATTATTTCTAAATCTCTTTAAACATTCGAAAGCAGTAATATCATGTACTCAACATATCACTGAAATCATTAATATGAATTTTACTAAAACGATTAATAATAGTCACTTTCAATAACATTTCAAAAATAACCAATCAAATATTTTGGGCTAAAATTTAGAAAGGTAGCAGTTTGTAAAGGCATTCTAGCATAATTGGCAATTTAATATGTATAGAAAAACTCTTATAGAAATTCAAGAATACGGAATTATTACAATTTATGGGATATCAATTCACAAATAAACATTTCACAACAATGCTATAATCAATTGCAAAAATATCAATTTTTAAATAATAAGGCAGTCATTTACATATGAAATTTACAATGTCTAAATATTCAAAAACAGTAGAAAGAAATCTTACAATTTTATTAACAGCATAAATAGCATATTTATTTCTAATAATTTTACAACATTTAAAATTTCTAATATAGTTAAAATATCAAAATTTTATTAAACAGATTATTTTTCAAAATAATGAGGTCACTTGCGCATAAAATTTATCGTGCCTAAAATTCATGATAATAAGCAGAAATAATTATTTCATTTCATTTTTAAAAAGAACAGATTATTTTTCAAGATAAAAAATCACTTACACACAAAACTTATAAAATAAAGATCCTGGATGGAAACATTACTATTTATTAAAAACATACTATTTTTCAGAAAGACGATGTCACTTACTTTTAATCACTCACGAAATTGATGCTTTTGGTGTATGTTGGTTGGGGCACTAAAAGGCCGCCCGTTTACAGTAGATCTTATGGAATCAGTATGCACAAGAGTTCAGTGATAAAAGTTTAAGTTAAAAAGACACATCTCATGGTTATACCATAGGAAGATGACACATTTAATTTACTTACACGTCATAGTGGATTGTCAAGGGCCAACAGGTCAGATAAACTACAAGCCACGTCATAAGGTAAGAAAAGCTTAAGCCAAAAGCTTTTGAAAATAGTGATGGTCCCTAAAGATTATCATGCTCATATGAATCATCACTTATTAAAAATTTATTTTATTTTTATTTTTATTTTTAAATATTAAGATTATTACAATACTATTTTAAGGTGGGCTCTAATTTGATTATTTAGAGCCTCGGCTCTTTACAAATTGCACCTTTGTATTAATGATCATCATTGTCATATGAGCCTTCTACCTATTGTATGAAGGACCCAGTTTCTATGCAGCCAAGCCTGCATATGTAGAAATGTGGGCCTATCAATAAATCTATTTTTTAGATGTTTTTTGGATTTAAGTTTTATGGACATGTAATATCCAACATGGAGATCATGAATACGGAAAAATAAATAAAATTTGAAAACTAGAAATAATAATTTTAGTAAGAAAACATTTGGACAAGTAGTTTCTATTGTTTTTGGATGGAACACCTACTTGCATCGATCTTTAAGATGGACGCTTTACACTTTTTTTGTCAGCATATGTAGTTATGCGATTCAGCACACATGAAACAATTTTCATTGTCTGAATATGATGAAGATTTACAAGTCATGAAATTCATTTTTGTGTGGTGAAAATATTTAGAAGGATCATCACTCTATGCAATTTTTGTTTCTCATTTATATACATCTGCACATCATTTGCAAGTCATTGATATAACTCAAGGTAATTTGGGAATTTATAATTTTATACTTGGGAGGGCACCTGCTTCTTTCTTGCTCTTATGCTACATATGAGAGAGCGAGAGACAGAGATAGATGCGTTATTCTTAAGAGCGAGAGAAAGAGAAGAGTCCTAATATTTTTGAATTTATATTTAAATAGGAAACTTCCTATAGATTTTACATATATTCATTTAAATATGAAACTTCTTTCTTTTTGAATTGTTTTTAGATGGACTACCTATTTGCATCCATCTTTAATTTGGATGCTTTATACCTCAGGGACTGTAAATGTAGAAAGTTGTCCCCACCGCATGAAACAATTTTTCTTTTCAAAAAATAAGTGTCTGAATTTTGGTATGCTCTTATGAATCACATGATTATTTTTCAGGAAATAATTCATATTTTGGCTTTTTAAACACTTAGATTTGGCTGTCCAAAATTTACAACCTTCAATTTTAAAATATTTTAGGCCCTTTGTATTTTTTAGGCTCATAAAGAGTTATTTTGATTTTTTCTTTTTATTGGAAAATAATACATCCTAAAAATTTGGACTGTCCTAAAAATACTCCTAAGCTGTAGGGATGGCAATAGGCCCGATGAGAATGGCCCTAAAAAACTAGGCTTGGGCCGGGCAAGCACAGCCTAAGGGTCGAGCCGCTGGGGTCTAAGCCAAAAAGACTTATTGAGAGGATATTTTCAATGTGAAATTTCAGGAACCCACTTAAAAGCACTGGGTGATTATTTTCAAAATAAAAAAAGTGCTTTCAGAGCTTTTGACACTTTGATCTTGCTTTTCAAAAATTAGAGGGTCTCTGTTCAATCTCGATACGATTTTTTTTAAGCACATAGAGAGTTCAACTTGGGTATCTTTTTTTCTTTCGAAGTTAGACAAGGTTGATAAGGTTACGTCCACAAAATTAAGGGCCCTAAAATTACTCCTATAGTTGAGTTTGCCCAGGGAATTAAATGGACAGTAATACTCCAGCGGGAGTATACAGTATTTTAGCACTGAAGTTTTCGACGCATGTCAAGAAATAACACGTGAGGGATCAACATAATACCCTAGGTTTCGGCCCCTATAAGTAGCGGCCATGTACTTCCCTAAACATTTTGCCCAGAAGTTCCATTAACGGCCTCGCTTTCCTTCTTTGTGAGGTAACTAGGGTTTTCGCTTCGGTATGGTTGTTCTTTTTTCTCTTAACTCCGCATTGTCTCTTTCTTGTTAGTAATCGAAATCTCGTGCTTTCATTTCCCTATTAGGGTTTTATTGCTCTAGTTATTATTTTCTCTTTTATGGTCTTCAATGTCAGTTTTTTTTTAAATTATTTTAAAAGGGTTTATGCCTATCTGTTTGTAGCTTTTTAGACATTTTTAGCTTTTCTAATTGCTTTCTGTATCTTCCTAGGGTTGATTTTATCAAGGATTTCAAGGAAATAATCTGTGAAATGTCAGCTGGGTATGGTCCTCAATCCTCTCGAGAAATAGTTTCTTTTGATATTGTTTGATTTGAATTTCTGGTTCATTGCATTCATAGGATTATCTTGTTCACCCACATGAGATTAATTTGTCTGAAAGTGAATCTTGATCTATGGAACTCAGTGTGGTTACAATACCAATGTGAATTGTCGATATACTTTAATGCCATGGAGTTTTCTAGTGTTTTTCTTCAATTTCACTTTTTTCATGACTGAAAATTTATGCTTGCTAGTTCTTACCACGATCATGATGAGTAATTTGTTGCAAAATTTGGTACGGTTAGCAATGGATGCATGATTTCATTATGCGAATATGGCAATAGAAATTTATTGTTTTAGCATTCCCGTGCAGGGTTAACATTCTTCTATTTTAAGCTCTGGATGTATTATATGAAGATAAGACTTTCTCTATGCAGAGTTATTCAAATAAGTTTGAGTCCAGAAACTTATTTACCTTTTCAGGTGTATTGTCTCCTTTCTAACATATGTCTTTGAAGCATATACTATCAAACATCCATCCAAACATATTGTATCATTCTATTATGTCTGAAGTAGTTATCTTGAAAATTGAACCTATTTTTATTGAACTTTGAAAGGTTGAAGTAGTACAACCAATACGAAACTCGGTTCCAATTTTGAATCGAAGGCCCTAATTTAATTGAACACCTTAGCTGTCATCTATTCCCAACTTTTGAACTTGTGAACCTGTTATCCTGGACTTCATTTTTTTTAATTTATTTTATTAGAACAAAAGATTTATACACGTATGGGTGAAAGAAGTTGATACAAAATATGTCCAGAAGGAAAATTCTGTCACGAATGAATTTTATACGAGAACCAAGAATATGGGATCTCTTATCATAAGAGGGCAGCAGTGTGAACCCGATTTTTCATTGGCTGCAGTAGCCTCTTTTTGGGCATGGTTTAAGGAGACTCAAACGGAGAAAAGTTGGAAATTCTCCTCAAAGTGATGTGCCCGTCTCCATGTGCAGGGAGCCCTTGTGTTGGCCCATCCAATAATATTGAGAGTCTCCTTCAGTGAGCAAGTGCCGGCCCAGCTGTGATCGAATAGCTTGAGACTCTTGAGGAGAGCTTGGGTCTTGGACAATGTTGTGTCCCCAGCACTAGTGGATAAAGCGGTATGTGGTATTATGACACCATTGAGGGCGTGTCTGTTGTATTATGATGTCATCAAGGGCATGTCTGTAATTTTTTTTAAAATTTGGGACAATTATGACATTTTATGAGTACAACCACGCAAATCTCTGTCAAACCAGAGTCGGCCACGTGTATCTTAAGCCCCTAGCGCCACGTGTCCCTATTGAGCACATTGCTCATGGTTCATCATGCTTTCTAAGCACATTATTGAATTCGGTATTGAGGAGGGTTTTATTCCCCACAAACTTTTTTTATTTTTTTGATGTGGGATTTGAGCATGGTGTGTCAAACGGAATACAATATATTGTTTTATTATGAAAGGTAAAGCAACAAGTGGTGTCGTGGTGCAGTTGGTTGTTAGTTATGCTTTACACCTTGAAGGTCCCAAGTTCGAACCTGGGCGGTGCCATTGTTTTGTTTTCTTGTTAAAAAAAAATAAAAATAAAAGGTAAAAACAAATAAAAGGTAATACAACAAGCATTTATTGTAAATAAAACAAAAGGTAATACATCTTATTTTTTTTATCAAAAAAAAAAGGTAATTCAACAAATATTTATTGTCAAAAAAATAAAATAAAAGGTAATACAACAAGTATCATGCTTTCAAGCATGCATTTGAGCTGCGATTATCGTAAGCTTAAATTGGATATGTAAAGGTAATACAATGTAGGCTTGGAGCATGTTGGCTCTTTTTCTCTCTCTCATATATGAATGCCTATTGTTAGATTTTTTTTTCAATTAGGAATAAATGGTCTAATTATATTTTTTATTTTATAACATGGTGGCCTTTAACATAAATTTAGGAATATTAATTTAAACATTGGGTTCATACAATGAGGCTATTTAAAATCTTTTTATCTCTATTAACAATCTCTTCCACTAAATTTATTCTAGAAACCTAAAAAATAGATTTTTGAAAAATTAAAGTGTTATTTCAAAAATTGGAACGCATTCTAATAATTTTTTCATTGATAACCAAATATTTTATTTTATTTATTAATTTATTTGCCTTATAAATTATGTAATGTACTATTTTTTCTTACAGCTATCAATAATATATTTTAAATTAGATGATATTATAAGATATTTTGGATTTGTTATTATTTGTATAGTAAAATAATTATAAAATATAAACCAACAATTTCAATTTCAGTATATAATATTATAGTTAGTTGGGTTGTAATAATTTGGGTTTTTTTTAATGGATTAGGGTTTTCCGCCAATTCAAGAGTTTGGTGGCCATTTTTTCATCAATTTAATCCTTGCTTTATTGTAGTCCATGTATGATGATATATTTCATCCATGATAATTCTATTCTTCTCCTTTTGTGTGATGTAAATTTAATGGTTAACAGTAGTTCATATAGGGAAAGAACATCTCAATATTTTCACAATTGTGCAAAAAAATGAAAGTTCTTAATGGAGTACCTCCATTTCTTATTGGATTCCTAAAAACAACATTTATAACAAATTTTAATAAATTTTTTGGATATTTTTTCAGGTTGAATCCCATCGATTTGGTTGATTCCCGATCCGAATTGCCGATTCATTGATCCGGGTGGGTTTTCGGGTTGTCCAATTCGAGTCACTGATCCGTTTTTGAACCATTGTTTTGAACGGAAAGGATTTCAGGGTCAGGGGTTTAGGGTTTTTACACTCCACTCTCTCGATAAATTCTATGTAGCCTCGTTTCCCTCTCTCTGTATTCCTCCTCAAAACACAAGCAGGATACCAGATCTCTCTCTCTCAATCTTTCTACTTAGTGTAAAGCGTAACATGTTCATCATCTTTTGGGAAAACAAATCTCCTTTATCTCTCTATTCTTCCCCTAAACTCTCTTATTCCATTGTTAAATATGTTATGTTTGTTCCACTCTAATTGCTGCCATTTCTTCTTTGATAATTATGTGTTATTTTGTTCTCACAATGCAACTTTCTCCTCTCTAGGTATCCTTTGAAAACCAGAAACACTGTTCCTAATTAGTCATAGCTTGGGACAAATAAAATTTTCTCTTTTTTGCTGGTTAATTTGCAGGATTTGATAGGCTTTAGCCATGGTTAGGGGATATAGAATCAATGGTGTGAAACGTAAGAAGACTGAGAAAGCAGAGGACGACCGGTCTTTTGAAGAAGAAGAAGAAAAGGAAGTAATAGTAGACGAAGAGAGAGAAAAAGGAGGAAAAGATGAGGAAGAAGAGGTTCAATTATTTGGTATTCCCACTGGTCCTATTGATCAGAAAGCCAAATCAGGAATTATCTTTGTTCTTGAGAGGGCTTCATTAGAGGTTGCAAAAGTTGGAAAGGTAAAAATCTATCTTTAGGAAACCCATTTGTTATTCATTTTCACTGAAATATTTTGTCAGATATCTAACTTTTTGTCTCATCTCTTAATAAATTTTGAGCTTGATAACCAGAAACTTCCTTTTAAGGGAATTGGAAGTTCTAAGCTTTTGGAATGCTGGATATTTTGATATTTGGAACTGATTAATATTAATTGATGTTTGATGACTTGGACAAAATTTTAGGAAGTTTGGAACATGTGTTTGATTGAACTTGGGATTTTGGAAATATATAGATATCAAATTTAGCCTAATTTAACCATTTATTGAAGTTTTTATCATGACAGGGTTACATTTTATGATCATAGGTCATCCACAGTACATTTAACAAAATATACGGTCTAGATCACATAAAAAAGAATATGGTTGTAGGTCTTCACAGATATGTCCGATTATCTCAATTTTTTTTATGTTCTTTTACATTGGATTGGGCTAGATTTTAGGTATCCCTAATTCTCTTCCTCTTGAACCTGTAAAAACTATAGACAAATATTTTAAAGAAACATAAATTGCAAAATATCCCAAATTTTGAGCAGCATTTTGGTCAATTTATTTTGTTTGAATTGGTTTCCTTATTTTTGTTTACATATGTGTTGGAATGAGGTGCACATTGAAAGAAAGACTTATGTGATTTTGTCGGGGAATATATATTTTTTCTTCTTTTTTCGCTCCTTTTCTTTTCTTTGTCTTTTCTTTTGGTAAAGATCACTTCCAAGTAGTCTTATTACAATAACTTTTGCTTCAAAGAAAATAAAACTAATAAATCCAAGATCTTAAAAAGCCTTGATGCCACTAAACCAATTTCCTTTAATCAAAGAAAATAACCACAATTCTCATGTTTGAGAATATAAAGACTATATAATTAAATATGGTAAGAAACAAAAAGAGAGTGCTGGAGATTACTTCAACCGGGCTTCTTACACCCCACACTATGTCGCCACCATTCGATGGCGCGGAATCAATGATCAACCTTCAATCTTGACCGGGAAGCTAGTTTAGGCCAAATCCTCTAATGGAACTATGAATTCAATTATCACAAATCTCAACCCTTTAGGTGAATCCGCTTAGCAACCTAGTTTGAGAGAGAGATGCTTCTCTTTTCTTCCACAATCTTATAATCTAAAACCCCAATGAGAGATGAGAGAACCACCATGAGAGAGATATCAAAGATGAAAGAGTGGGGTTTGCCCCTTTGGATCTCTTGAGGGAGAGAGAGAGACTTTCTTGAGAGAGAGAGAGAGAGAGAGAGAGAGAGAGAGAGAGTATTCGTAGGGTTGGGCGTCGTCCCTTATCGTCAACCTAGAGAGAGAGAGAGAGAGATTCTAGGGTTGGGGCGTGCCCCTTATGTCAACCTAGAGAGAGAAATAATTTAGAGAGAGAAGATAAATTTTTGTGTAGAGATTTTATGGGCTAAAATAAGATTAGGATTTCTTAGGGTTTTGCATGGCTTGCCTCTTTTTGTAAGATTGAACATGAACCATTGATCTTGGGTGACTTGTGGGGTGAAAGATTTGAGCCCTCCATTTTATAAATGAGCCATCAACATTATGGAAGGTGTTAGAACCTTTATCCCCCTTTCCTAAATCATTTTCCCATTAATAGAAATTAAATAAAATAATTTCAAATATAATATTGTGCATTCCAAAATAATGCACAAGCCTTCTCATGCTTTTCAAAAATCCATTCAAAGCTTCATCAAGCTAATACCTTTCAAAACACATAACAACTTGCCCTTCAAGCCAAAGTTGCTTATTACAAAAATTGGAAAGCTCCTAAATGGGTGGGGCATGCCACCCATGAGAGGATCTCATGGGCCCCACCATCTGGGCTATGGTGGGCCCATGTGCACAATGGGCCCCTATGCAATTTCAAGTATTTTTAAAACTCAATAAAATAATTTTAGAATTTATTTGAATATTTAAATCAATGTATGTGTTTTTATAAACCCAAATTTGATAAATAAAATATCCAGAGATATATAAAAATTCAAATAATAATTCTAAAATAATATATACCATAAAATAAATATAATTAAATTCATTAGATGGGAAAAGGATCCAAATGGTCTAGGAATTAAATCATCTAGGGTACTCTACCTTCAACCGTGGACTACGTACGGTCCACACTTGCATTATCAACCGACCCAGTATTTCTCATGGCTCACAGTCCATGCAGAAGCTCAGTAGCGGGTCATCAAAGGCAGGCCGATGAGCCAAGGTGTCGTAATCCCATTTTGTGGATTTCAGGTTCTCCCTTAAAGACGTGCTAAGGTCACCTATACTTGATGCGACAGCAACTCTTATGTCTTATAGGGGTATCTCTCGCACATGCATAAGCTTCACTTTGAAAGGTGGTTTGCTTTCCCAAAATGACTATCATTATGCATGCCGTGTGATGGTACATGGATGAGACTTTGGCCCTCGTTTTTTAAGTCCATCATTATACACAAGGGTCACACAGTCCTTCGGCTCACTCATCTAGGCATACTTTGGCTTCATCACCCTTATCGGATAGTTTTTTATGCCCAGGTAACATAGGTTTTTCCCAACCGACTAGTCTAGCTTGTCAAGCTTAGTATGATATCAGCATCAGCAAACATCGTTTGCTTAGTAAGGTCCATACATGACCACATTCCTACTGAGTTCATGTTCTACTATATTATTTCATCTTACAAGCATTCATAATGCCTTTAATGGCCACACGCACTCAATATCTTGCACTTGGCCTTTGAAGGCTCTACATTCTTTCTTCCTCACTTTCTCTCTTCCCCATCTCTCTCTCAATTACAATCTCTCTCTCAATCATTTTTCGCTTATTATCTATCAATACATTAATTATGGCTTTCGCCATTAATCCTTTCACAAAAGGACTTATAGAGGCAACACCGTTTTCTATTTGCTGCTCGGATCTCATCTCAAAAGTAGTTGTAGTCCATTTTTCATATCGCATCGTGAATCATAGACATGTTGTCGTAGAAGATCATCGCATATCCTCATCACATGGGGGTCGTATCTTCATGGGCTCAAAGGAGTTCTTCAAACAAGTTGCTCCTTTTTGTAGCCATAGAACCAGCGCCACACATCCGGGTTCCATGGGTGAACAACATTATAGTCTGTTGTTGCAGCTGGTCTGTCAAACACTTGAAGGTGCTCCCACTGGAATATTTAGTTTATCTGGATCTTTCATGATAGAGTACCTCTATATTTGAGCTCCCACTCAATTATTGCATATATAACATATACATTCTCAACATTCTTATGCTTATATCATGAGGTGGCATAATAAATCTCATGCAATAAATTTTCTACCTTTCGTTGACTTCGTCAGCTTTTGTAAGGATCTTTTGATCCTCATTCTTAATGCATCTAATATGCTCTAGATCCTTGCATTCCTTTCTCATTTTTGCTAGTTTAAAGACATCTTTTTCACATTCTCTTATTCCCTGTTATTGTATAGATTATCATATGTTTTAAGTTTAGTTTTATTATTTTTTTAGTTGTTTCTTAGTATTTTTATATTCTTCTAAGTTTTGATAATTTCTATTACATTGTCATGTTTTATAACATGTTTGTTATTCGTTAATAGCTTTCTGAACCTCCTCACTCCACCTGCAGGTTGTTTTTTTTCTGAAATTTATTTGCCCTCTAGTTTTTCCTAAAATTTCTTTTGCCACTTTCTTCATACAATCAACAATTTCATTGCACATAACATTAACTTCGTGCTCAAAGTTCTATTTTCCTCTTTTACTAATTTATCCCTAAATAAGTCGATGTTCTCTTTTTTAAAATTTCTCCACCTAGTTCTTGGACACCTGTCGTTCTTTTTCTTCCATCTCTTTAGGCAGACATCCATAACCACGAGTCTATGTTGCGTGGTCCAACTCTCTCTTAGGATAACCTTACAATCTTTACATGATGGTCAATCTACCATCTTGACTAGAAAGAAGTCTATTCGGCTTTTATATGATCCACTTTTATAAATTATTAATGTTCATCTTGCTTTTTAAAGTTGGTTTTTGCTATTGCTAGGTCGTAGGCCATAGCAAAATCTAGGATAGCCTCACCCGTCTCGTTTCTGTCCCTAAAACTATATCCCGCATATACCCCATCATATCTTCTAATATGTTTTCCTACATGAACATTTAAATCCCCTCTTAAATAGGTCCTCTCTCCATTTGGTATTCTTGGACTAGTCCATCCATGTCCTCCCAAATTTCTCTCTTAATTCTATCCTCTAGTCCTACCTTTGGTGCATAACTAGTAATTATGTTAATTATTGTTTCCTTAATATGGGTTTGATTAATAGGAGCCTATCACTTACTGTCTTGACATTAACTACTTTTTATATTTTCTTATAAATCTTTATTAACTATTATGCCTACGACATTTTATTACTATATTTTCTATATATTAGAGTTTGTATCCATCAATTTCCTTAGTTTTTTCTTCTTTCCACTTAGTTTCTTGTAGACAAACTAAACTCTTTTGCTTCTCATTGTATCTACTAACTTCCATGTGTTTACCTATTAGTGTTTCTACATTCCTTGTAGTTAGATGGATCCTACTCTCTTGGACTAGCTTATTACCCGTGCTTGTCTAGAATGACGTGGGAATCCTTGCCTACTTATTACTGTCATCGGATGTTGTTGCAGCGCGTTGCTTCGGTGGAATGCTTTAGCTAACCCTTACTCATTTTTCATTGCACCCGAATACCCGTAGAACACGTTGTTTTGTGGAAATGTCCTAGCTTACCCTTGCTTGTTTCTCACTGCACATGGGAGGTGCAGCGCGTCGCATAAGAGGAACATAGGTTCAGGATTCATGATAAGATGTGGCAAAGTTTCATGCTGGTTGCCTACCTAACGCAAGCCACCTTTTACTCGGGTTGGGACGGGTGAAGGGAAAGTTTAAGGTCCTTGCCCAAAAAAAATGAATAGGTATGTTCAAAATTGATAGCAACATATGTTTAAATGAAAATAATTTTCCCTACTTTTTGATCTTGAGTAGGTAATGTTTTGTCCTCTTTAAATAATGAGTTTTAGAACATTTAGAAGGGCCAATAATTTTATGAAATAATATGTTTTGAGAACATGTTTTTCATTTCTACATATAATACCCATTTCAGAAAAAAAAATGCTTCACGTTGTAACGTAAAATAAATTGCTTGTAAATATGACTTCCTTGACATATCACCCCACATTATCAATGCTATATTATCTAGTTACTAATGATTCCATCAATATACTAATAATTTTATAAAGGTAATTATGGATTATCAAATAAATTATAAAAGGTGCAACTAGTAACCCAGTAACAATTGTCATTTTCAGATATTTTTTTGAGAAAAAGGTAACTGTATTGGTCATGTTATTAGTCACAAAAGCACTAGAAGTGGCCAAAGGCAGCCTACAAATGGGTGCTTAGACTGTACAATCAAGATAAGGGGAAGGAAGAATGGAGTTGTGTATTGACTAACCTCCCGAAAGCTCTCTGATTACAAAGCGTAAGGATAAAAGTAAATATAAGATACTCTATGGTAGGTGAAAAAACTTAGCTAATATTGAGAGTAGATAAATGAGAAATGAAATTCGTATGGGTAAGGAAGAAGATGTGTGCCAGTGCAGGAGGAAATGGCATATGGGATTGTAGAAGGATCAAAAGGCTGAAAATGATAATAGGAGGCTTGGCAGCATTGAAGCACAAGAAGGACTGCTGATGGTGGAAACAGGGTGGTAGAATCTACTAGAGCATCTAGGGAAGAGGATAAAAAAATGTCGCGTACTAGTTAGTAAAGAGGGGTAGAAAAGAAGAGGCAGTGCAAAAGGGGTTTCATTGTGGAGGACATAGAGGAAAGGGAGAGTGAGGGGAGATAGAGGGGGAAAGAAGAGAGGAGATAGTGCAGATAAGAGAGTGAATTGGGAAGATAAGGAGATGAGAGTGCGGAGAAGAGAGAGAGAGGGGAAGAGCAGGAGGCTGGCACAGAGAGAGAGAGAGAGGGGAAAGCAGGAGGCTGGCAGAGAGAGAGAGAGAGAGGGGAAGAGCAGGAGCCTGGCATAGAGAGAGAGAGCGAGAGAGAGAGAGGAGATTATGTGTGGGTATTACCATTATTGGATATTATTGGTGAATCATTTTAAACGTAGAGTGAAATAGTTGGGGAGGTTCTTTTTATGGACCATTCACGATTTGTATGAGACGAAATGGTTTTTATTTAAATAAAATGAGCAGTTTACTTCAAATAAAGGAATGGAGTTTTAACTGTGGAATTATCCTTCTTATAAAATTTTCAAACTTTAAGTTTTGAGTAAATGTACTGGAATTTCTTGGTTTGAAGATGATAAAACATATTGAGAGTGCACAATTTATCTCTACCTTTTATTTACATGATATATTAGTGGGTATCATTGAACCTCAATTTATTGGGATTGTTATGGGATAAGCTGTATTTTTTGCCAATTTCTGCAAATTATATATTAGTTGTTTGTGAGATCGCAAATTAAATCATCAGCAATGTCACCTCAGTGTTATCTTACCTACCATGGTTCTTTGATTCCTCAGACTTATCAAATATTGAATTGTGATGATCATGCAACTTACCTTAAGAAGAAAAATCGTGATCCTGCAGCTTACAGGCCTGACATTATTCATCAGGTTAGTCATCGGTTCATATTTATGTAAATTGCATTTTTGCACACTTGTTTTTTGGGAAATGAACTCCTTCCTTATATTTGTGACCCTGTGGCCATTGGGATTTTGAAAGAGCTTTCTTTCTTTCTTTCTTCTCCTTCACTTTAGCTAACTAATTTTTTGGGACAAAATGTTGCTGAGAGAAGCAAGGAAGTTCTTGCGGAAGAGACTTGAATAGAAAGATCCGAGACAAAAAAATAACATCTTGTGAGAGAGTTTGAATGCCAAGATTTCGGTAAATGGCATAAGAACATAAAGTTGTGACTTTCAGGATTCTTTTCTTTTCTATTTTTTTCTTGGTATCCTCTTATTTGTAACTTTGGGTTTCTTTTTTCTTTGTTGTTATTGACTCTTTTTCCATGTAAAATTTCCGAGATTTGATCAAACTGTCGGTCTTAGAGTTGTTAGAAACATTGTCATGTTCTAAGCTTGGTCTTTACTACTTCACTCCAATAAGATAAATTTATCAACAGCTGGAGGACGAAAGAATAAGAGTGAAAGATTGAAACATAATTGCTTTTTAAAATATCCATCTATACTAAAATGTTTTTAGTCTTCCTTGGCGAAGTTGATTTTACTACTTTATTTCTTTTAGCTTTTATTTATTTATTTTTAAGAAAGTTTCTTTTAGCTTATTTTGGAAGATAGATTTAACAATATGGAATTTGATTGGCATATTTTAGACCATGGGCATATATAATCACCATTCATCTTAAAGGTTAGAATGGCAAAACAAATCAAATATATGCTGTTTATATCTGCCTGAATCCATGTGGTTGAATTTCAAGTGTGATGATATGTCCAGGCTCTCCTTGCAGTGCTGGATAGCCCCCTCAATAAGGCTGGCAGACTGAAAGCAGTATATGTGCAGACAGAGAAAAATGTGCTAATTCGAGTAAATCCTCACGTGCGAATACCAAGAACAATAAAGCGTTTCTGTGGTCTCATGGGTAAGCAATGTTTCTAATCATTGTGATTGTGAGATGGTTTTATAGATTTGTTTTACTTACAATGGATTCTCTATAAGAATGATAGGGGATTTATAGGTGCCTTATGCTTAAGTTGGCTCTTTGTATGGATTTTTCATGGAGATCATTAATATGTTGATTTCTGATATTATTGCAGTGCAGTTGCTTCAGAAGCTTTCTATACGTGCTACTAATGGGCCTGATATTCTTCTCCGTGTAGTCAAGAATCCTGTGACACGCCATTTACCTATTGATTCTCGTCGGATAGGTTAGAACTTGAATGAAATTTACTTTTGTGGTGACGTTCCTTATTCCAAAAATGAAAAAGAAATTTTGTGGTGACTGTATGCATTATGGGATAAACGCTGTCGTCCAGTGGACTATGGAAAGTCTTAGTTCTTCTTGTCATATCATTGTGCATTATATGATGCACAGTCCTTCCTAGATGGCACCCACTGGAATGGTATGTGCCCCGTGGGTCCCAATCTTATTTGCGTCACCGACCATCATTTGACAAACCATGGAATTATGTTCTTATGTAGAACATTGGATTATTTTTGTACATTTCTGTGCATTATAATTTCTAAATCATTTATTTCGTCTTTGGCAGGGCTGTCATATAGTTCACCAAAGGTAGTTCAGTTGCACGACTATGTCACTGATGCAAAAGATGATGTCAACCTCGTTTTTGTGGTATGCTCATTGTTCTCTAAATAAAAGTGATTCTGCAAAATGCGCCAACTTATTTTTTCTGATTTATCTATTTTTGATGGATGATCAGCTAGAACTTATTATATAAGTTGATCATTTTTGCAGGTTGGTGCTATGGCCCATGGAAAAATTACTGCAGATTACATTGATGATTTTATTTCTGGTAAGTCGTCTTTTCCAATAAAAGGAATTTATTCATTTTTGGCTTGTTGTGAAGCTCTATTTGTAATATGCTTTCATTAATTTGTTTGATTGGGCCATTAAAAAAAGGTTTCCATTCTGCCATTCGATATAAAATTGTTTCGCTACTTTAGTTTTTCATCTTCATTTCTTTCCTAAGTATCCTAATAACCAAATGTAGGTTATATATAAACAATGGACCTGTGATCATATCTTGATTTTTTTTTTTGGATAAGGAATACTATCTATTAATCCTCAGTCCCAACTTTTGTGGAACAAGTTCAGATGGGAATGGGATTGAGAAACACTCCGATTGCCTAATTGGTTGACTTTTGAGAGATGCTTTAAGGTTTCACCACATTACACTAAACGATTGAAAAATTAGAGACTTCATAAAGCTGAAATGCCTGAAAGTATATTCCCTTTAAAATAATAAGTGCTTAACAATATTGTGAGTGAATATAAAATTTTGCATGGATCCATTTGGAATTTAAGCCAAATTGGTTGTATTTCATGAAGGGATGGTAGCCAGGAATCAGGCTTGGGCTTGAGTTGTTAGCAGCGGATGTTTAGCAGCGCTGCATCTCAAGTTCGATTCCTACAGCTGAACTACTCCTACCACCACCCATTCTCCACCGCTCCCCCCCCCCCTCAAAAAGGAGAGAGAGAGAGAGAGAGAGAGAGAGAGAGAGAGAGAGAGAGGAGTA